TAAATATAGATATTGGCATTCTTGTTGCAAAGGCCACTCTAGTTACTGATTTTAGCATAATATGAATAATGTGGAGAAAAGCCAAGCAAGTACAAGCAATGTCTTGTAGGCTTTATGAAATGAGGACATTCCAGTCCACACCCAGTACAAAGAATAACTCACAGTACACAAAGATGATGTACGAGAGTGCAGTAAAAATAAGTAACATTACAAGTGCAGGTACCAATGAAGCTGCAGTAGTCCAGAGTCTGATATTGGTGATGGGGGCAGCTTAGGGGAGGAAACTGTTCTTATATCTGGAGATTTTGGTGCTACAAACCTTTCTGCCTGCTTGCAGCTGGGGCGATTTGTGTCCTGTAAAATACTTTGTGCTTTGTTGTGGCAATGTTTATTGCATACCCAATTGACTGTTTGAGTGAAGTGTAAAGATTGATAGATATTGAGTAAAACTGGCTCTCATCACTTTTCTTTTGTAACCCAGCAATGCAATGTCAGCAGACTACAAGGAGAAGACCTGGGTATTTTATCTCTTAGCTAGTTGGAAAGGTCTTAAGGACACACTGTTTGAATGAATGGGGCATTGGAAGCTTTCACTTTTGACCTGCCTAAATATTTGGTGCCTAAACCCTTGTTTGTCAGGAGTGTTAAAATTAATTTGTTCAGAACAACAAATTGGTCTGCTTGTATCTGACCTGCTAGGAGACTGAAGGCGGATGGAATGCTCATTAATTAACCAAGTCCATGGGGTGGGTTTCTGCTCAGCGGTCTGCTATCAGATATCTGCTATTACTGATGTGAACCCTACCTCCCAGAGCTGTAGGAAAGAGCTGTCGTATTGCACAAATGGAAAAATGGCTGTTTTGCTATTGTTTATCGTTCCAATACTAAAAACATTGGATCTCTGATTGATTGTTTGGTCATATGGCAACAAGCTATTGACCACTAGTTTTGCTGTTTTGCAGAAGTAAAAGTGGCTGGCTTTGTGCAGTGGACTCTGGGAGGGGTTAGTGTGGAAATTTTGATCACTAACTGGTACATTTTTTGTATAATATCACCAATTCCAAAAGCCCAAATAACCTCTGAGCCACTTGGCAACTGGGGGGGTTGCTGGTGGTGAAGATTGACTGATCATCCAATGCATACAGTCTCCATTAGTTTAGTTATATCTTTAGTTCTGGTGCTGCTGACTCCTCACGTAGTAACTGACTTAGTTACTGACCATTTGCAAATATGACAGTAATGAAAATGAATTTTCCAACCATTGCATGAATTTACAAATTTCTCAAATTTCATATGCCTGACCAGTGCATACTGGACTGTGAGAGACCTTTAAAATAGAATGTACAAAATGTCAATAAAATGTCCACTTCCTGAAGGATTAAAGTGGATAAGAGTTTGGAAAGCTGAAGTAAAATTGTAAGCACCGTTGTGATCACGCCTAGACTACTGTAATTTTCCCTTAGTGTCCATTTTGCAGAATGACATGGTCGTTTGGACTCGGTCACTAAATGAGGAGTGGTCATATTGATACATTTTAAATATTGTTGAAGATAGACTCTAGAGATGTGCCGGTCCACATTTTTCCAGTTCCGATCCAATTTCAATACACTACAACCGATACAGATTCTGATGCAAGAGCTCTTTTTACTTGAATTTTTTAATATAAAATATTATATGTATTTATACTTATAATTTTTAAGCTAGCAAATACAGATGAGAAAAATGTATGTCAAAAAATCTCTTATTAAGCTATTAGAAACATACATAATGTACTGTTCCACCTGGTTTGTACATCTTGTTTTAAACGTTTTTGAGGCATTTGCAGTGAATATCTTCCAAGAGAGTATATGCAAGTGGTATGCGCTTTGTTTAGTGTTACTCCCACTTCTCGAAACTTTGTTTTTACAAAGATTGCAAATTGCTGTGCTACTAGTTGTTTTTAAAAACATAAAATACTTGCAGATCATTGCCTAGGGTATGTGACATCACAGCAGGCGGAAGTCACTGCGCTCACACCCACTGAGTCAAAAAGACTGAGAGGCAGCGTTGTGTTCAGGTTGAATGCTGCAAAAAAATGCATCTAAAATGGGAAAGAGCTGTCGTGCAATTGATTGTACAAATAGATTTAACATGAAATAGAGACTCACATATGGTCGGGTCACATATGGCCGATACCCGATCCATCAAAAGGTTTGGATAGGTGCTCTCCAGTATGTGTAGCAGTATATTACGCGTCTGTAACAGATGCAACAGGAAAGTGTTTCCCTGACTCCCATTCACAGGCCACCTGCACTGGTCACCTGATCCACTTATTCAGCTGGTACGTGGCTACCTAGGATGTATGGTCAGCTGCAGCATTTTCCCTGCCCTCTTATAAACTGTTCTGCCTGATAACTGATGAAAAGCAGTAAGCTTCATACCATCTGGGACATGCGTGAACAGGTGTACCAGATGGTCTGGCGAACTGCAGCTTAATGGGACTAATGGCCAGGGAAGAGTGATAGTAGCGACCTTTTGCCTGGATCCCTCATATAACCTAAGAGGGGTGTAAGAAGGGGGCAGAGTATGACACCTGTTCCCTGGTAGTCATAGCCATCGGATGAACAACAACTACAGCCTCTTCTCCCCTTTTTTTTTGTTTTTTTTTTTGAGTATATTGTTGCTGTGTAAAATCGTAATGCTGCCCATTTGTTGTGGCCTTTGACAGATACAAACTTGCAGTATTTCAGTATCTTGTAATATTTATACTTACTTTTTTGGAATTCCTCGTTTCAACTCATTTGATGATACCTCAGTTTTGCAGCAAATCCATATTGAATAACTCATCTCCCATTATTAGTCTGAGACTGTTTGATCAACTTTACAATAACTGTCCTATTGCTCTGAAGGTGGTCATTTTGTGCTATTGAATGAAGACTAAAACCAGTGAGAATTAGCATATTCTGCTACTGAGGGGAGAATTTTGTTGATTTCGCAAGCTTTACATTTTTCTTTTTGCTAATCTTGTCCTCTGTTTATGCTTGCATGATTGCAGAAGATTCGTTTTGTGCAGGCTTTTGAGCCAGGTGGCTTTCAAACTTGTTCCTGCCACTCAGTCAACCTCTAAGTGCACTTTTGTTTCTCCATGGTCGTCTTTAATTAATAGACCCTCATTATGAGAACAAGATGTATTCATCTAACTACAAAGTTGGAGTAGCTGAATGGCAACTACTACATTTTTTATGTATGTGTGAAAAGCCAAGCAGGTAGAAGTAACACGCTTCTCTACTCTGCTGGCAAGCAAGAGCAAGTCCAGGCCCATCCTGGTTTCTTAACGCTGCTGCTTTTCCATGGAATGGTAGAGGTTAGTCATAGGTTACAAGCTTACTGTCAGGCTGAGGGAGCTGTCATAGCATGTGTCATCCATGTGTCATCCATGCTCCATGTAGTGTGTGTAGCCTGTTGTCCTTGGTTACAAGCTTTACTAGCTTCCTTGTTAACTAAATGTCAGCAAGGGGCCTGTTTGCCCCACATTTTTTATTTTTTTTTTGACGACGCCTACTGATCAGTAGTGGTGATATTAAGATTTTTTTTGCAGCCATACAGGCTGACATGGCAGTAACATTTCAGCTACCTACCTGTCTACCTCTGATTTCTCACATGCCAAAAATCATAGCTGACAGCTTTCAGTTCGTCCTTTTCAATTTATCAGAAAGGGAGCCATGGCTAATGTTCAAGATATTTACTGTCTTACTATTTTTGGCGTTATAAATGGACGATATTCTCAAATTCATCTTCCATTTAAGAGTGTTGCCTGAATCTCTCTGAAGCTGAATGTGTGGGCTTAAAGCTCGTTTGAGTGTATTGTGATGAAGAGAAGGTCGCAGAAATGAGATGACTTGTATGGAATTTTGCATGAGTTTCTTCCACCTGAAGGTGTGACATGTGCACTGTCAGCAGTGGACACCCCGGCTAGCTGTGTGGGAGAGACTTTCACTGTTGGCTGGCTGTAATTGCCAGAACATTCTTTTTTATACTTCCTCATGCAGAAATTCAGGTCTGTCGACCCACTTATAGGAAGGTGTGTTTCGGTCTATGAATTCTTCTGGCTTCGGGACACTCTAGAAATTTTATACATATAGGTCTGGTTGTACCTGATTTGACTATTCTTTGGAATATTAATCCTAATTCTGTAAAGACACCCAGAGTCTGTATCAATCCCAGTGTTACATTTGCTGTTTTGTTTAGATAAAAACTGCCACTTAGTCTTAGATCTTGGGGGCTGCTCTCTCTCTCTCTCTCTCTCTCTCTCTCTCTTTTTTTTTTCCCCTTTTTATTCAACTTCCTTGATCGCTTCAACAAAACTTTCATTTCCATATGAGGGAAACCTGGTGGGGGGGTTCATTGAATTATTGAGCTTTCCTCTATTGTGATACTGATTTAATTTTAAGAGATTATCAATAATAGAAGTATAATAAAAAACTTGATTCTTAAAAATGTATGTTTTATTTTTTTACTCTCATGCGTAAAATCAAAGCTTTGTCTGAGAAGCAGAATAGGTATAAACTGCATGAAACACGTAGCAATATGACTAAATGCAGCCCTTGATGGCTGAGAACCTTATGGGATTTATTGGTTAAGCCATTTTAAAATGGTGTAGACATGTATGAAGGGATAACACACAGGCTTTGAAAAACGTGTCAAGGCATTAGTGGGTATAGTGCTTGTTTTAGTTCCCATTCCAAATGTGAAACAAAATAGCTGTACAGTATCACCTTATTGTACTTAATGTGAAGTGATGCATGTGTGCTCACAATCACGCTGCATACCCAAGTACTGGCCAATCCACTTGACAACTCTGTAGTACATCAGTGTGGTATCAGTACATGAAACCAAACAGATTATCAAAATCTTGCCTCCACCTTTTCACGCTGTCTGAATGCTGTGTGTAGGTCTTGATGAGTTAATAAGATCTGGCTTTATGAATAATGCAGGGTATATAATTTGTCTCTCCACCGCAGGTGACAGAAGGATGGTTGACCGCCTAGCTAACAGTGAGGCCAACTCTAAGCGCATTGCGGTGGTGGAGGGGTGCTTTGGGGCGGCAGGTCAGCCGTTGGCCATCCCAGGACGGGTCCTCATCGGAGAGGGTGTGTTAACCAAACTGTGCCGTAAGAAGCCCAAGGCCCGTCAGTTCTTCCTCTTCAACGACATCCTTGTTTATGGCAATATAGTCATTCAGAAGAAGAAGTACAACAAGCAACATATTATCCCACTGGAGAGCGTCACCATAGACACGGTGGAGGACGAAGGGGACCTGCGCAACGGCTGGCTCATCAAGACGCCCACCAAGTCCTTTGCGGTCTACGCTGCCACTGCCACAGAGAAGTCGGAGTGGATGAACCACATCAACAAGTGCGTGTCAGACCTTTTAGAGAAGAGCGGGAAGTTGCCCAGCAGTGAGCATGCTGCAGTCTGGGTCCCTGACTCTGAGGCATCTGTCTGCATGCGCTGCCAGAAGATTAAGTTCACGCCGGTGAGCCGGAGGCACCACTGCAGAAAGTGCGGCTTCGTGGTGTGCGGCCAGTGCTCGGAGAAGAAGTTTCTGCTGCCCAGCCAGTCGTCGAAGCCAGTGCGCGTGTGCGAGTTCTGCTATGACCAGCTTTCTGTGGGACAGCCGGGGGTTCCCGGTGGCCTCTCTGCCCGCTCAGACTCCTACAGCCTCAGCTCAAACAAATTCTGTGGCAACAATATGTCTGACGATGAGGATGAAGACGACAGCAGTGATTGAGGACTTCCTGCACTTTCCTCACCTTCTGGGACAGTAAAATAAGATCTTTCTTTTTTTTTATTTTTTTATTTCTCTTTCCCCAATGGGCTTGAAATTAGCAAAGCATGCAGGTGCACTAGTAAGGTGTGTGTGTGCGTTTGCCTTTTCTCTTCATTTGATCTTTTGAATCCTGAGATCCATAAATACCCTTAGTCCCCCAGGCCTTATGAGGATGGTGATAACCTGCAGGTGAGTGAGTAGCTGTGAGTAGTAGTGTAACCCACCCTTCCAACCCAAATCTCACTGCCTCCGATTCTGCCTGAGTTTAGTGTTTCTCTTGTCACTCTTCAGTTTGAGGAACTTAAGGCTGGGTTTTAAAACCCAGCCCTTCAGCATGTGCTCTGTTCTCTTTTGCTAATTTCCAGTTCTGGTGTCAGCTGCTTTTGTAATGAATTTATATCTTCTGAACTCCTTTTCCTAGCCATATATTTTTCTACCAATGAACCTTAAAGCATGTGTCTGCCTCAGTGCTGGTGTTTCTACAGGGATATGAACATTGGTACCCTCTTGACAAAAGGCATTTCTGTTGTAAAGCTTTCAGGCAAAGTGTAAATTTTTATTCACAATTTTTTTCTACCCTTTATACACAGCTTTTTACAATCTTATGTTTGGTATATAATGATCCACTCTGTAATTAACAAATCAAATGAATATGCAAGTCATGGATGGTAAATCTAATTTTCTTGAAATGTGACTGCATGTTGTATGCATATCTGATCTGTATTGCTCATGACAAATCAGGCAGAGGCTTCTCAAAACTTGCAAAATTCTGAAGCGCTGTTGGAAAAAGCAGTTGCTCACATAAGTCTTTTCATAAGTCTTAATCACCGCTGTGCCTTAGGATTAACATATAAATTCAGCCTGTCAAGAAAACGCTATGTAGTTTCAGTGAAAGGACAAAGTAAGGTTGTACTGTACTTCAGAGACGTAAATGAATAAGCAGATGAACCACATTACAAATTGAACTGACATTGTAATGTATAGCATTTTAGGGAGTGTGTGTGTGAGAGAGAGAGAGCCATTAAAATGGTGCATCTAATTTTTTTATGTGAAATATATAAAAAAATAGCTCTTAGTTTCCTACTTGCATGCAGTTTCACAATCTCAAATACTCTATTCAATCAAAATCAATATATTGTATGGGAGTTCTACAGAAGGCTCTTGACACTGGTCTTCATGTCCATTGAAAGTGAAAGAACTCTTGTGAAATTCTGATTGAGTGGCAACAGGGGGGTTGGATGGCTCAAAGTACAGTTAGTGCTAAAGTGGAGCCACCTGATGTTGAAATAAGCTGATGAAGCCTAGATAGATCTCTGGGTGCTGAGAGGAGGGAAAGCCATGAGCAGCACTCACCAGACGGCCACAGACATAATAGGCCTGCTGTGTGAGCTTGTGGTCTGTGACCTTGACCTGGCATGTTTGGTGCCGCTAAATGCTGAGGTACTCATGGAAGGTTCCTGTTTTTGGGAGTAATGCTGAGTATCGTAACAGGAAGTGTGCTGTGGCATGAAATGAAAGAGGGAAGCAGGCTCAGTCTACCTTACTCCACAGCCGCCAGTTCTGTCTGAAATGCACCAATCTCCTGGTTTGATCTTGACGAGTGTCTGCCACAGTATTGCTTTGGAGCACTTGAGTGTTTCTTTTAGCCTGCCCGATAGATTACAGGCATTATATTTTGTGATTTTGACTAAAACAGTCCCCATAAGCACAGGTGTTATCTTCTTAAATTGTTTGCTTGAAGGGCAGACATGACTCATTTTAAAAAGGGACTTCTGTGTTCTTCCCATTGAGTGCTGTGCTGTGCTGTACTGTAGCATAAAGACATCTAATGTTCAGCAATACTTTTCCCTCAAATGAGCACTTAACTATTTCCCCTCCTCCCAACCACATTTCATTTGATGTGTTGTGATTACTCTTTGTAGAGGATAAACAACAATGCATTCTGTAATAGCAAAGAGGATTAAAATGCTCTCTCAAGTTTCCCACCCTTATTCAGTACTTATGAGGGTTCAGCTTTCTGGGCCAAAAAAAAAAAAAACTGACTGTTTTTTGTCAGGGTCTCTGTTGTGCCTCAGTTCATGTCCCATACTGTACACTCTGATCCCGTAACAGTGTTTTCCAATCCGGTCCTCGGGGACCTGCAGACAGTCCGTGTTCTGCAGACAGTCCGTGTTCTGCAGACAGTCCGTGTTCTGCAGACAGTCCGTGTTCTGCAGACAGCCCGTGTTCTGCAGACAGCCCGTGTTCTGCAGACAGCCCGTGTTCTGCAGACAGCCCGTGTTCTGCAGACAGCCCGTGTTCTGCAGACAGTCTGTGTGCTTCCTCCCAGCTCCCAAAAACGTGGGTCCTCAAGGACTGGCTTGGGAAATGCTGCCCTAACTATTACCCACGTGCCTGGGGGATCAGCAAGCAGCCCTCCACATAGCTGCACCCCGTCTTTCAGCTAAGTGTCTGGGGTAGATTTTAGAGAATCTCAGTCTAGTTTACAGTTAATTAGAAATTTGTTGGTGCCCCTATTTGAGATTTTCCAACCAATTGTTTCTTAATTGTCTGTTTTTCTTTTTCCTGTCTATCGTCTGTCTTTACTGCTTGTTTAAAAGCTAAAATGTTTCAAAAGGGCTTAAACCTGAATGTAACCTAGCATAATTCTTAGTTGCTAATTTTCTGAGGAAATATATTTGTGTTGCTCCAGTTTTTGTCTTTGTGTTTTGTCCTGGCTGGGTGAAGCTGAGGAATGAGATTTGTGTTCACAGTGAACAGCAGCTGAGCCAGTAAATACTGGAATGGCTGACCCTGGGCCAAGGTGCATAACCGTCTTTATTAAATAAATGACATCCTGATGACACTATGGGTCTTTTAACAATACAGAGAACACTTGTCATGTCTGTGGAAGAGAAATACTTCTACAAATGCAGTGTATGTGTAAACAATGCAAGGGCACACCTTTCTACACATCCCACAGCTGGGTCAAAGATTGTGATCCTTTTTCAGGATTGGCCTGTCAGTGATTCACCAGCGATACAGCAATAAAGTGGCTGGGTTTTGCATTCTGTTCTGTTCATGGTTTTTCTTTTCCCCTACATGGCTGTGGTTCTATTGATTTATTTAACATAATTCATTATGCTTCACTAACCTACACTGATTTCGGGCAGAGACAGTCAGTGTGACTAGCTTAGGTCTGAACCATTTGTAACTATTATCTTTTATTAAACTTGTGCTCCACTTTGCTTTCAAACACCTACCATAATCAAGGGATGCTTGACGACAACTTTCCGATGTTATTGCTGCACAATGCTGTGAATGATTGCATTACATTTAAATGGTACATTTATTGTTCACAATGACAATGAACTGGTAAAAGTGAAGTGGGAAGTGAAAGGACGACACCTGCAGCTCGCTAAGCCACCTGCGAATCCTCCAGGGTTTGAGATGCAAGCTTCCTCAGAATTATGAGCTTTTCTTTTGCTTCTTTTGAGACCAATAGGATCTCAAAACCCCTTACCTGCTTCTCCATGAAGGAGACTGGTATTTGTAAAAGGTAAATGACTTTCTGACTTTCCCTGCCCCCAACTGAGGGTCCTTTAACTGCATTATGTGTGTGTGAGGGAGAAGAAGTACAGTTCTCCATGTAAATTTTAAAGGATCCAGAGAAGAAGAGTGCAAGCTTCAACGACCGCCTGAAATGTAAGTGATGCATAAAGACTGATGTTCATCTCGCTTCTGAAAGCGGTCAGTCAGAGCTTCTGTCAGCTTGGTATAACCGCTTCGGAAAGTCTTTGTTCCCCTGAATAATTTGTATCTACTTCAGCTGTAGTTTAACCATCCCACATGATTCTATTGTTACCTATTTGGGGTAAAACAAAAAAAATGGCGGAAATCAAGTTGTCTGCCTGTTCCTGAAAACTGCAAATTGTCTTGTTGCTCATTGTCCAGTTGTCTCTCTGTAGCATTCTCATTTAATTTATTTTTCATCAACAGTGATTTTGAAATCATTTGTCATTAAAGGTGCCTCTTTGTTTAACTTCTGTTCCATTTTCGTCACAGAAAAAATGTCGTTGAGTATTTTTCGTCTTAGTTTTGAGACTGCTTAGAAAGGAAGACCTAACTGATGATTTGTGACGTGACGTTCTTTGCGATATGACGTCTGCTGCTTTGTTGGTGTGCACACTGAGAACAGGAATGCCCCCGGTCTCCAACCCTGCTGGAGTTTCCTTGTTTATATGCTGTTTATGCTGTAACATGTTTCCTCTATGTTACCAAGGCAATGGGTAAATGTGAGCATCTGCCCAACAGCCATTGTTTCTGTCACACCATACAGGAGCTTCCTGTACCAGAAAGGTTGGCTGGCAGTGCGGAGGTCACACATGGACATAGTCCCATTCTTCTATTCTCCCGTGACTGTATATTGCCATATTAAGTGTAAATCTGTTTTACCCACAGCTGACGTCTTTCAGGTGAGCAAACTGCCAAACACTTCACAGAAACCCTGATGGCTGCTTCTCGTCAGTTTTGGTCTCTGTGGTTTTCCTGCTCTGACCAGAAACGGCGCAGCAAACCAGGCAAGCCTAACATGAGTGTCACCGGAGACCCCATGTCACCTAGGATGACCTAGCTGTCATGTGAGTGGCCTAGGTCACGAGAGAGAAAGGGCTCTTACTCGGCGCCAACTTCAAAAATGCAGCTGCTGTTAAAATGTTTCCCTCGCCCATAGCACCTAGCGGCCTGTGACTGACGTGTCTCAACTTGTTCTTACTGAACTATCTGATAACGTGATACGCGCCACTGAAGAAATTTTGGGGGAAAATGTATTAACTGAGGAAATGCAGACAGCTGGGGCTCGAAGCAAACCCACAAGGCTTCCTGTTGAGCTTCTCTGCAGCATCAACCTGCTTTTGGGGAGTGGTAACTTGTCATTCAGTTCCTGTCTTCCAGGCATGAAAAGTCCAAATAATGAGACTGGTTTTGCAGAAGTGGATCACCCATTTCTGTCCTGATGTGCTGCCGGTATACGTGCATACGAATACGTCCCAGGAAACGCGCTGCTTCCATCTCCCACACACTGTGACAGTTGTCCTGTGGTGCCCCTCTCAGTGGACTGCGCCGCTCCTCCGGCCCTCCCCAGGGTGACGGCCCACCATCTCTGACACCTTTCACTGCATCTCTTTGGCAGTTAAGTTCCTGCAGTATTTGTGGCTAGAAGCCTATTGATAACGACAGTTGTGTGTTAGTTACTGCTTGTAATTTTCTCTTATTACATAATTATTTGGACTTGTTCTCTAAGAGTGCAATCAAGGCTTTGTTAAATGAGCCATATCTGAATTTATATAATCTACTCTTAGGCCCGTCTCAAACCTTCCGGTGTCAGAAATTTCGACATGTTTCACCAGAAGCTGTCTATCTTTGCACAGTCCAACAATGTTCAGATCCCGCCACGGCAGAGAAACAACATTTAGCAGAATGATGAATGACTTGCTCCCATCCTCTGACTCTGGTAATGAAAAGTGCCACACAATGAAAATCTGACTTTACCATGGCATTGTTGAATAAAGAGAGTTCGGTATATGGAAGTGACAAACTGAATCTCAAACAGTTGTCTTGTCTTTTAAATATAAATCCCGCATTTGTAAAAGAAGGTGGTAAAACGGGTTGATTCAAAAATCAAAGACTGTAGCAGTGTTAACCACGTCCCAAAATTTAACATACAGCAGGCCGGTGAACCTGCACAAGCTGTAACATTTATTTTCTCTCTCGAGGGGCGTAGTGCCTAGTTTCCACCTGGATGGGAAGACATATATACTGATAGCCATTTATGTAAAGTGATTTATTATTAACTATAGTAGGCTAAGAAAGTACGACCTTTTCGGGGGTATATTCCCCAAAACCTCCAGCTGACCCCCATGTCGACCAATAGCACATCCATGGACAAATCGTTACACTCGCATACAAACATGCATATATAGGTATACATCCACACTTACCTCTAAGCCACATACAGGCATAAATACATACATATATAGGTATACATCCACACTTACCTCTAAGCCA